ATATTCAGATTATAGTTTTTTATACACTGTTCTATAAATAGAACAGTTGCAGATCGTATAACTGTTAGGATTGAAGTTTGTATTTGGTTATCAGTATTCATTGTATCATTAATATTAACTGATGTTTATCTAATTCACAACAAATTGATATACATACTGTTAAAGTGTTCCCATTCTTGAGGCCATTGTATTCCTTAAAAAAAAAAATGGTATATTGGGATTACTTGGCGTTTTTTTTTTGTCTGTGTTAGTATATTATAAATCTTTTTGGGTCAGCCTTGAGAAAACATTTGTACTGATAAAATTAAAATGACTAAAATAGCTTTTGTTGTTTGAAAAAATTTAGCGAAATTTGGATATTGCAAGCATTAGCAAAAACAAAACAATCTTTTCTCCCAGAAATTATGTATGATATTGTTTTTAAGGGACAAAAATAAATTATTTCGATTATTTTGTAATAAAGAAGGTGTGTAATGTCACATAAGTAGTTTGGATGGGAAAATGGGAAGTGGCTTTCATGAAAATTTCATGGAACATTTGCCCTATAACAGGGAATTAAATTGCAGAAGTAATCTATATTTCTAATAGAAGTACTGGAAATTCGGATATTTTACCTTTTTTACATAACTGTAACAGCTATAAGCTTACCGTATTTATCTCTTAACATTTCAAAGATGTTGCTTGGCCAATCTATTAAGAAAAAGAATTTTCTTTTTATATGTTATTGAATCAAACGTTGTATAAAGTTGTTATACAATTGATTTCAAATGTTATAATTTTTATTCAATAATGTTTTTTATAAAAATAAATATAACTAGGTATAGATTGTAGCAAAATTTACTGTTATCTTTAATTATCTTGACAGTATGGTGGGTTAAATTGTGTTGTCTTTTTTGTTTAAGAAAAGAGTTATAAACTTTGTAATACTTAACTAAATTTCTGTCATTATTTTTTTGAATTTAAGAAGTACTAAATTTCAAGTATATAGGTGGTTACAACAGTGTACTGTTGAAGAAAATGTTCAACAATGAATATGACTTTAAGGTAAATATTATTCATTACAGCTGTTTTAAACAGGAATTGTAATAAATGTTTTGAAGGAAAATGATTTGCACAGGAGCGTAATTTGCGTAAATCGAAAGCGATCATAAGAGGACGTAAATGAAAAGGTTATGATGTGCACTTGTTTAAAACATGTGAACATGTGCACGTCATTGCTCTTTGCAAGTGATAAAATTCTACGTATCATCATCCTCGTCACTGGAGTAGATGTCAAATGAAACCTTCAAAGAATTCTCACAGCCGTCCCCACACAGGCAGATGCATGCTTCAGTGCTGGACATCTCAATCACTATACAAGGATAAATGTCGGACCTCTTGCACCCCGCCATCTTGCATTTGCACACTGTAAACTTGACATCCGCACGGCTTCCAAATTTTCACCTTGTAACTTCCAACTATTAACAGCAGGAGATGTTAGAGACAGCTCTGCTTCCAGAGAATGCTTCCAAACGAACGTTTGATAGTTGCTTCGTTTCAAATGATGAAACAGGCTCTCAGAAGTTGCGGGCAAAGAATCAGTCTTCTGTTTCCCCTGACTAACCAGTACCTTTTTTTCCAATCCCAAATATTCCAGTTGTAGAATCGTATCCAGTGAGGGCATTAAAACTCGGAAGTGCGTTGCAGACATCTGGTCCGAGAGCGTGCACCACTGTGTACAGGAATAAAGCGGAAATCGTCCTTCACGCCGTTTTTGAACCATAGTTCTTCACATGCCAACTTGAAGAAAAGTACTGATAGAACTGCAACATCAGAGACTGGTGACTGAATTACTATGCACTCATGACCATGCAGCTAAAGCGTCATTCCCATGGAGGATCATTCATGTATCAGCCACTTTGCGATCTGATTTCAAAGACGGCTGAGTTGTTGTTGATGCTCTGATTACTGATACGGCCTCTGTGCTATCTGTGAAACCTCCCGACATCACAAGCTGTTGTCCGTGGTGTAATTAAGCCTTACCAATAGCTTGGCTGGAAGATACTTACCTAAGACTTCTATTGCTTCGTTGCCTACAGTAATCCTGGATAAGTTGACTTTCACAAGCTGCTGCCTCGTACCTATGAGTAAAAACTCAGTCTTATTATCGTTCAACTTTAAACGGTACCTAACCAACCAGTCTTGTAGGTCCCTAATGCAATCACGCGTAGCGTTAAGGGCAACGACGTCCTCGTCCGATACGTTTGGACTAAACGGAAAGGTGCCACTCTACGATCTCGGACAGCCTACTGGTGTAGATTGTAAACAGAACGGGACCAAGACAACTCCCTTATGGGACCCCTTGCTTGAGTTGGAAAGGAAAATTAGTGACCTCCAGACTATTCACCGCATCACGCTGTGACCTGTCCTTCAGATACCACGTAAACCAGTCCAACGCCTTGCCTCCCACTCCTACAACCCATTCGAGCCGACCCAGCAGAATTTCATGACAAAGGGTGTCAAAGGCCGCGCTAAGGTCCAGGAGCACCAGCAGAGTGACCTTTTGCGTGTCCATGTTCATCAGGATGTCGTTCGTGACTTTCAACAGTGCCGACTCCGTACTATGGATCTGCTTGTATGCAGACTGGAATTGAAGGTGTAACCCGTCATATGATCCATAAGTTGTAGCGGGGCTCCCACGCGCGCGACAGAGCCCCATACTAATAGAATATGGTCAACCTCTTTTCGTTTGGTTGTCACGTGATTGACCAAGCGTACGTACGTACGTAAGCGTCTACAGATTGTAAGGGTGGGGTAGGGGAGACTATCAAAAGGGAGGGAAGGGTATCTCAGGCGTGTCTTGGCAAGTCCACATCTTGGACATTCACAAATGGTCAATTGACAGCTGTCAAAACAGGATAGCCACTGACCAGTATCACATGACCATATCGCGGGCTCATCTGTCAACTCATCGACGTGACGTGATTAATTTGGAAGCTTTCCGCTGACCAGTTAATTGTTTTAGTAGATCAATGTTCAATCTCATAATTTCTAGCTAGTTTGGGAGCACAGGAAAACTCATAATGCACACATATTGGACATCAATGTTGTGATCAATTGACAGCTGTCAAAACATGGTATCTGCTGACCAGTATCACTTGACCGTATCGCGGGCTCAGGTGTCGACCCATCGAGGTCAAGTATTTTTTAAAGTTATCCGCTGACAAGTTACTAGTTTTCAAATGATCGCAGGCTCAAGTTTATTTTTTTAAAATTCATGTGAAATATGTTGTGTTTCTGTGCCGCACAATTAAAATTTTGATTTCAAAGTGACCTCACTCGCGAAAGTTTAGCCAGCTATTACAGGCAGGGAAGACAGTTGCTTTTGACTTTGCTCACCATGGTCACGCGTTGGTCACGCTTTACGTCCAATTTTTATGCTCTGATTGGTCAAAATTTGACAGGTGAGTTCATGCGGAAAATTTATGCAGCATCTTGAATCTTGTTTACTTTGACAGCTGAGGCTGACAGAGTTTTGTGTCAACTTGTGATAAATTAACTGTCTTTTTCCACTGGATGTACAAAATGAAATTCAGCTGCTATCAAGTGTCTTCTGTTATTCATTGCTAGTTTGTTTATTGGGTTTTTGGTTGAGAAATACGTCACTTGTCAAAAGCCTTTGGACATTTTCTCATCGCAAATAGAAAGAAAACGTTCCAAAGAATATTTAGTTATAATTCTGGCTGTAAAAGAAAGCTTTGAGCAATTTTCTTGCCTCGAGTTGAAAAAAAGCAAACACCGGGAAGCCGTTTTTTATCCTGGGTCTGTTTTTTTCCAGTCGTTCAGTGAACATCGCTTGTGAGAGAGTGGATTTGAGAGGATTGCAAGGCTTTTTTGTATTTTCCTTTTTAGGTGTTTTTTTTTTAAGTTGACTTTATTTCTTTCCATTTAGAGCTCAAAAGAAATTGAAGGTGTCCAAGTACCCCTCTTGATCATTGGAGATGCAGCTTATCCTCTCGTACCATGGCTGATGAAGCCATTTTCTGATGGAGATTTAACACCAGAACAGGCAACTTTCAATGCCATTCTAAGAAGAGCGAGAATGATTGTGGAAGTTGCTTTTGGGAGGTTAAAGGCCGTTTTCGGTGCATGTTAAAAAGAATTGACAGCACACTGAAATGCCTCCCAGCAAAGATCGCAAGTTGTGTAGTGTTGCACAATCTGTGTGAAATGAGAGAGGAGGCATTTAGTGAGGAATGGCTAATCCCAGAGGGATTTGATGATGACTCTAGCGTGGCAAGTGAGAGCAGAGCTTCAGATATGGGGAAGGATGCAGTGAGAAATGCTCTGGTTATTGCTCTTTCCTCAGCTTAAAATAGTTCAAGAGTTGTTTTTACATCAATTTTGTCTCTATTTTTAAGACAAGAAGAATAATTACAGAGACATGTTAAGGTACCCGCCCAGGCAAATTTTCATGTTTTCAGATCTTATTTATTTTAAGCCCAATTGTAGTTTATGTCATCTAATATTCAAAAAAAAAGTTTTTTTCCGAATACAGGGAAGAGTAAATGCTCCAGAAGGTTGCAAAGTTTTGCATTTAAACCGGAAGTCAGCCCCTTTGACCGAGGAAGGATCTGGGCTGGTTACTAGGTGTTCATGCTGTGCGCGCAATATTATCCAGCGGTTTCGCCGAAAAGATTTGCTGGACATCGATCTGGAAATCAAGATGGTGGCAAATGGAGGCGTTCTTCTCGCCAAGCAAGAGGCCGCATTTGAAGCGTTCCGTGCTGAATTTACAAAAGAAGGGTATGTTCATTGCCGTCTTTTCATTGATTCTCGTTTGTCTTTATTTCATTGACATTATCTTATTCTTGGCTTGCACTCACGTGACTTCCGGTACAACTTGCCATTTTCATCCGCCATGTTGGGGTTCCAAAACCAATATGGCGGCCAGTGTGTTGACCACGTAGTCACCAACTCGTGAACCTACACGCGATTTTCTCTTATTCCGCTGCCTCAAAATGCCTATGTGCCTGATCGTTGGCTGTTCTAGAAAGACTGGTCGAGGTGAGGGAGTCCGATTGTATCGAGTTCCCGCTATTATTACAAATCAAGGCCCAGAAGTTGAGGAATTGAGTATCGAGCGACGGCGATTGTGGATCTCTGCAATAAGCCGTGCTGATCTTACGGATATAATCTTGAACAGCGATAAAGTTTGCGACCAACATTTCCATTCTGGAACTGCAGCTCCTCTGTGGGATCGTTACAATGTTGACTGGGTTCCCACTCTCAATTTAGGCCATGACAAAACGGCGACGCAAAGTGAACAACATCAAGCCCAATCGCGAGAGACTCGAGCGGAGAGGTCAAAGGAAAGGCCAAAACGTCAAGCGGAACAACAGGAACAAGAACGTTTACTGAAGCAGCAGAAATTAAATGAGCCTGGAATTCCCCTTGCTGATTTTGCTGCTGAGATCGAAAGTGCAAGTACCAGTTCAGAACAAGTCCAAGTGGAGAACTTAGACTTGCAACCTACAGACCAGCAAGAATCAGATCCCAACGAGCAAGCAACACACAGCACATGCTCTACTCAAACAGAAGCTTTCGATTATTTATATCACTCCGTGGAATCTCTTTCCATCAAGGACTGTCCACGAAGTGATGCCTCAACTCAAACAGAAGAGTTTGATTACTTGTTTGCTGAGTCAGTGACTAGCAAGCCTTTTGACAAAAATTATTTCAAAGAGGATAACGGGAAAGTGTCTTTCTACACTGGTTTGCCAACATATGAAGTACTGGAAGCCACTTTTAATCATGTTGCACCCCATGTCAAACGAAGAACACAATCACTTTCTTTATTTCAAGAGATGGTTATGGTACTGATGAAATTGAGACTCAATGTTCCACACCAAGACTTGGCCTACCGATTTGGAGTCTCTATGTCCACAGTATCAAGGACATTTGCACACTGGCTGGTCATCATGGATGTGCGGTTGTCCCCACTGATCAGGTGGCCAGAGAGGGAAGAACTTTGGAAGACCATGCCCCAGTGTTTTAAGTTTTCGTTTGGAAATAAGACAACCGTCATTATTGACTGTTTTGAAGTTTTTTGTGTAAAACCGACAAACCTCCTGGCTAGAGCACAAACGTTCAGCTCGTACAAACACCACAACACAGTCAAGGTCCTCATCGGCATAACCCCTCAAGGCTGCATCTCCTTTGTCTCAGAAGCCTGGGGGGGACGCACCTCAGACAAGTATCTCACGGAAAATTGTGGGCTGCTCAACAAATTGCTTCCTGGGGATCTAGTTATGGCAGACAGGGGATTCACTGTTCACGATGGTGTTGCCCTTAAACAAGCAAAACTCGTAATTCCAGCATTCACTAAAGGAAAAGAACAACTGGACCCTGTTGACGTTGAAAGAACAAGGGGGATCGCACATGTTAGGATCCATGTTGAACGAGTTATAGGACTTTTACGCAGGAAATACACTATTCTTGAGAATACCTTGTCAGTAGATTTTTTAACCTGTAATCCAACTGGAAATCCTGAGATCCAGGTACCTATGATCGACCGCATACTCAGAGTTTGCTCTGGACTTGTCAATCTATGTGGCCCCATTGTCCCATTTGATTAGATTAATCTGTGCAAAATACAATGGAATCCCAATTTTTTTAACCTCTAAGGCTAGTGTAAATTGGTTTGAGAAATCAGAGAGTTCAAATCAATGGTTAAAAATAGTTTAAGAGAGGAAATGACTCCGGGTCCAAGTTATCAGAAGCTTTAAAAAATAGAGGATTTACAAAACTGGGATTCCATTGTACTTATGTAAACCATGCTGTTTCGAAATTTTTTGGTTTAATTTTAAAATGTTGTAAATATGTGTACCACCACCTGGGGGAAGTCCCTTATGGGGTTGCGTGGCCAATTTGAATATGGTTTTTTTTTTCACCTGAAATTAAATGGGATTCTAAGAGGTTCAATGAGGAGATTAAAGAATGAAAATTAGTTTTGAAACACCACCAGACAGTTGACCCACAAGCAACTCCAACTTGTATGGATGTCCATATTCTTTGCTGTAAACAGATTTTATAAATAGTTTCATTCTTGTCTGAGACAGGGTATTATGACTCAAGCTGGTTATGAAAAATTGGGAGATGAGTGACTGAGCCGTACCTCCCCAGCTAAAGATATGTTGAGTGCCCCCCCTCCCAAAGGTAACAATGTGCTTTTGTAAAGCTATTTTATTTGTTAAACCCAAGAAATTGAAAGAAATTTATTCATTACAACAATGAGAGGTTTCTCCTGTCATGTAATTCCCAGTTGATTTATTTGAAAATACAAATTGACTGGGAGTAAAGCTATTTTATATGTCAAACCCAAGAAGTTGAAATTTAGTCATTATAACAATGAGAAGTTCATCCTGTCATGTAATTCCCAGTTCATTTATTTGAAAATACAACTTGTACAACCAAAACCAGCCAGCTTTATTTAATTATATTTCGAAAAGGGAAAAAAAAGACAAATGAGAGATGACCAGTTAAACAGTTTGTTTATTTGTAAAGATATCCACATCATTGATCATTAATAACTGTACAAAAAGGAAAGGTAGTTAAATGTTTACCACTAGATTTATATCCCTTAATGGCTGCTAAGGTCCATTAGCGATCAGTGTCAATTTTCTCTTTGCAATAAATTATCATTATTTTCTTATTTAGAAAACAAGGCCATGAGATAGAAATGCGATCATCCAAAATTATTTCTTTGGTACCTTCCCAACTTTTGCCTATACTGCTAAGGCAGAAAAAAATATAGGCCATTTTTTAAGCCATTAGGTTGAAGTTCTTTATCGTATGCCTACATTAGAAAAATTATTACTTAAACCTTTCACTCCCAGGAATGACTAGCAAATAAATTCTCCTAACGATTTTACTACTCTGTCAAGGAGACAGGTGATGAGAATTTGGAAAATTATCAACTATGGGGAAGTGTGTTTATGTTACACCAAATTCTCAGGAACAGAGAACAAAGATTTGTATGGTCATCAGTTAGGAGAATTGAATTTCAGATATTGGGAGTGAAGGGTTAAGGGGATTACGATTTGTAAAGCAATGAAAGGGACGTATTTTAATTTGTCAAACCTTACTGATGGCCAATTGGTTGAATACACTTACACCTGAAGGTTTTTGGTGTGTCTCAAAAAATAATGAGTTTACAAAGTGAGATAGCGGTCCAGGTAGCTAAAAAAAAATTTAATGCTCCAATTATTGCAAGGGTTCTTGTAAGGCTCTAAAATTTAAGACGATGGAAACTCGGACATCAGACCAGCTTGAAGACAGGCCACTAAATGTGGGCGCATTTTTGTAATGTCAAAATTCAGGTTTTGTGGATTGGATCCAAATACAAGACTTGTCGCAAAAGCAATAGCAAAAACCCCACAGTCACTTCCATTTCTTTGCTGTTGGCAGGGTGCATACTCGAGTTTCTGGAAGCTCTCTGCTAATACTAAGTCTTTGACCTGATCTTCAACTTCTTGTGAGATGATGTCATTATAAAGACTGTCAAAAAGTCTGACTGTTCCGGGAATGCATCCTATTGAGCTGACACAAACCCAGTGATCTTGTCCTGTATGCAATAACTGCACAAATTCACCAGAAACTACATTAAAATTTCGCACTGGACCTAATGTAGGACGCTGAAAACCTTCAATCAAAGGGTTAATTTTCTGCAAAAGTACCTGTGCACTGTGGATAATTGCACCATCAAGCCAACCATGGGGGGACATGATAAGCTGATAATCTTGTTCATCAAGATTACTTAGTGGACGATATCTTTCAGATTCACTAGTTGTAACCATAGTAACCTCGATGTCATCAGCACTTTCCTCTTCACTGTCATGATCAGATTCTTGTGCATTGTCAAGTTCATAGGACGCAGGTTTATCATCATGAGATTGAGAAAAACAAGTGGTAGGTGCAACTGGGGTTTCCTGACATGTCCCTGGAACTGCGGTGCTGGCATGAAATGGCTTTGCATGTTTTGTTTTGCAATCGGTGCATTTCCAAGTTGTCTTGCTGTTGTTGGGCAATTTCTTGTAACCAAGGCAGGTCAAGTGAAAAAATTTTCCACTCTGGCAATCATCGCTGCGGCACTCAAGTAATTTGTCAGATTGCTGTGGCACTGCTTGGCAAATACAAATACTGTTGAGAGATAATGCCTTAGCCATTATTTCTGGAGATTTCTCCTTTCCTTTTTTCGACCGCTTAAACTGTGGTAGCCTGCAGCAGTGTGGGCAGTACCACACCCTTGGTAGCGGGGTTGAGATTGCTAAACACGAGGGATGAAATTCAACAAATGGGCAGTGGGGGTTTCCACATTTCACAGTGTTTCCACATGATGGCATTCTGCAGAAACAAATTCCAACACCTGCTTGTGGTATCTCATCAGAAATGTCACACTTTCTTGTGTACCATCTGCCTAAAATTTCAGGCAAAATACATGTTCTCCAGAAAGTGGTAAGTTTTGGCAAAACCTCCTTCCAGTGACCATGGTCAGGGTAAATTCTCTCTTTGATAATTGTTGCACGGTGAGAACTGTCAAAAGCACAAACAACAAAATCATTGTACTTCCGTTCAGGTAATGTCAAAAGCTGTTGTTGAACTTGAAAAAAGTAGTTGTGGTTTCGTTTCAGCTGGAAATTACCGGCTGCCTTTTCCAGGCAAGCATTCTTCTTTAAAACATAACTGTCAAAGTCACATCGGTCAATACAAATAGGACATTTGACCTCTCCGCACCCCAGTCCACAGCATGAGCAAGATACTAAGAAGTCTGGAGTGGCATGAATCCAAGGGTACTCTTGGTTGATAACTAAGCCACACTGCGAGAGTTTAAAGTCATCATGACTGTTTTTCATTTCTTCTTCATAGGCTTTAATTGCATCAGCTTCATGTTTGCTTCCATGAATCACTGCTTTTGTGTTTACTTTAAATAAATTTGGATAGCAGATTGTCTTGATCAGTGATTGTGATGGCTGTGCTGGGTTTGTCCGGCAGACTGCTCCACTCATTGACGCACCAATACGACCCGCTCTATGTCGAAAAAATGCACTCCCATTTGCCTGGCTCTGTGTATCTCTCTCAATTTGTGCAATGTCTTTACTTGACAAGCAAATTTCTACATTAAAGCACTTCTTTAGTAAATCAGTGTATGTGAGGTTTAAATTGTCATTGTCAAAAAGGTCTGGGATTGTTTGGATACTGCTGCTTTCTGACACAAACTGGTCAGAGTAGGGCTTGATAAGACTTAAAGCCACTGGTTTAATTTTTGATTTGTCTAGACTTTCATAGAGGATGTTCATTTCAGTCTCCGTGGGAACTTGCACTGTTAGTTCTCTTCTGCTGCCGGTGAAGGATGTTGCCTGAGCCTCTCCTAAGCTATCGATTTTTCATCCAAATCCGCTTTAAGTTTTCTGGCGGAGGTCAAATTTATGTCGCGCATTTTTGCATATGGGACATCTTTTACAAATGATGGCAACAACCACGTACATTTAACTTGGGTACAGGCCAACTTACCGCGAATCCTCGTCCACGCCTCGATATAAAACAACACACTCGCAACATGCGAGCATGTTTCCGAGAGTCCTGCTTTGCACCCTAAGCAGTGGGCTGATTTGACTGTTCCGTCTTTTTCGGCGACAACCCACACAGAGATCAAAGGGTCATTCATTCTTTGTGAATGTCTCACTTTTCCTGTAACGACGTGCTTTCCAGCGACAACACAGCCTTGAATGCCTGATAAAAATCCTGAAACCACAAAGTTGTAGGCTTCCAAACTCTTGTATGCTTTGAACTGCTCTTTCGTGTAGAAACTTGTTTCCAACACCAAGTAGCTAAGCAATCCATAGCTTCGATAGGTGGAAGGCACTCCGTGTCAAACTGTTGATCGGGAATGGTGACCGGATCGACTCCAATTTCGGCGATTTTTTCTACGTATCTTCGTTTTACGCTGTCGTCAAGTTTAGCACAATACTCCGACAATATTGGGATCTTACTACAAAGCTCGTCAAGCGAGGGGACGCGTTCATTTTCCAAAGAATTCATCGTATAGTACACAGCGATGGCATATATGCATAATAAACACATGTAAATTTTACCCGCGGTGGAACCCCAACATGGCGGATACCCAAATATGGAAAATACAGTGACGTCACGTGCAAGCCAAGAATTCTATCGCAGTCTCACCATTCCAGAAGGACTGATAGCGCTCTTGAAAACTTCGAAAGTCAAGGCCAACCATTCTCCGGACGAGAGCCGAGCACGGCTCTACAAACGCCTTTGGTGTATTTTGTGGGTAAGTCGCTATACTCTTCGAAAAGGCCATTGTTTCAGTATTAAAGTAGAAGAGGTCCTTCACTAGTCAGTGCGTTGGCAGTGCTTACAAAGTATAAATATTATTACTTGTCAGCTCTCGTGCGTGTGAAAATGTTACTTTTCTTTAGCGGCTAGTAATCCATGTAGTGTAACTAATTTCTTCAAATACACTGCTACTTTTCTTGTGTGCACCTTCCATGCAGTGTTAATGATTTATTCAAGGCAAGAGACATTTTTAGTTAGATGAAATTTTCAACAGTAACTTTATTTTTACTAATTCATTTTGTTCACCTCTTTTGTATAGCATGGAAGTAAAAAAACGCTTGGAGCTGGTGCAGGAGAATGGCCTACATATGTTTATCCTGAAGCGTTAAAAAGGGTTGTTAGAGAATTTATACCCGGGGATGAAGTAGATAGGCCAGACCCCACACATAAGAGGGTAAGTTTAGTGTTTCTGTACTTGTTAATCCAGGATTGATTTTCCCTTTTTTAAAAAACTATCAAATATTGTTTGTTTTGTAGGGTTCTAAACAAAACAGTCTCTTTCAATATCAATGGTAGTTATCATTATCATGTGGTTTTGTTTTTTTCACAAGTTGCATTTATAACTGCAATGATCTTTTGGAGAGGAAAAGAAGAATTATTTGGGTTGATCAACTAATTTAGGCACTAAATAGATACCATTCGCATATCCATTTTTTTTAATCAAACAATATCTTTTAAATGCTACAAACATCTGGAATTTTACTTTCTACAGTAGATATTGGTTGATAAAGCCACTTCTTATTTATAATGTATGTCTTCCAGGTATACAAGGTGACAATGGCAGACCTTGCTGCTGCAACATGGCCTCAGTACAAAACAAAGAAAACCCGTTGACAAAAGCTGATGATGATACATATTTACATATTTCATTATCTTTCCCGTGGATTATAATGATTATAATATCGATTTTTATTACAATTTTTGAATCAAAGATGTTTGAATAAAAAAGATGCATAATTTTTACAGAGTACTATAAATATTTATAAAAAAAGCCATAAACAAAGCAGAAATGGAGATAATATTCTACTAAATGTGTACTCCATGCTAATGATGTTCATAATTATTTAGAGAGCTGAGATGTTTGGATAAAAAATATATAATTTTACTCAGCAATTGTTATATAAATATAGATCTATGAGCCCAAAAATTTGTGGAGAATCGTTTGTCACTGATTGCAATTCACACTTTTCTGATTTACTTCATTTTTTTTAAAAAAGAATTTGATTTTTTTACCCCAGATAAGCAGAAGACATAGACGTATTTGAACCTGTTTTTTTAAGATGTAATAAAGAGACCAAATGTAAAGATTTGTGTGTCTTTTGTTTATGTTCTCGGGGAGTTGAATATAACTGTTTGAAAATTGCCCTGTGGCAATTTACTTTATATGCTCATTTCAAAAGCACATACTAAAATAATTAATAATGTAATCTCTCACTGTCTTTTACTACACACAAACAGACAATGATAAAAAGTGTATTGCCAAATAAGGTGTACATGAAGTCCCACAACAAGAAACAAAAACTCTCAAAAATAGTCTTGTCGTGGAAGTGTTCAAAATTACTTCAAATTTTCAACACACCCACAACAAGACTTTTGGAAATGAAACATGTGCTTACATTGTAAGTGTGTGTGGGAATGTTTTGCCTAATAATAGAAAGGAATTTATTACAGCTAGATCATTTTTTACTTCTTTTGTTTAGAGGACAGGCTGAGTGTGTGGTGCGTTGATGTTGATTGGAGCCACACTTGCAGGTTTTGCCACTGATCAGGGTTACTTCATTGTTAGTTTCTGCTGAACCACCAAGGGCCTCCCTGGTTGCAGAAACCAAGCTGGGGTTTTCATCTTCCTCTTGCATACTTGTTTCCTCTCCATATGTGTGCTGTACTGCTTGCCGTTTTACCCATTTTTTTCTTGCTTCCTGCTCTTCAGCTCTAGCTACTTTCATTCTAATTCTTGTCTGCTTTTTCTGTGCTGTCCTCCCTCTTTCTATTTCCTTCATGCGGTCTTCAACTTCCTTTTGAAGTGCTTGAACAATTGATGGAATGACAGGCAGTTGTAGTCTCTCATATAAGTCAATTATCCAGTGGTAACTGTTGCCACGGACTTTGAAACACCAAGACATATTCCCTTGGCAAAAACCACAGTTTGTAGATGTCACATAGTGCAGCCTAAAGAAAAGTATTGGGATAATTAATACAAGGACTTGTTTGAAAACAAAGTATTGAGCGTTTTGTACACACAACATCAAACACTTTAAAACATTATTTGATTCAACTGAACAGAGAAGTCTCAAATCAGCTGGTAAGAATACTGACACAAAAACCGCAAGCAACATTAAATCTATATAGAGAAAAAGGAAAACCAGGAAACATTATTACTGTGAAATAAGTGAAGTCTTTCTCCAATAACCAGACAGTAATAAATGACTAATCAAAACCAATCCAAGCCAACTTACTCCAACTAAAATTATTGGTGGTAGGTTCCAATGAAGAAGGCTTTGGTGGAATAAAACCAAAGTTGACTCTTAGTCCAGTGTCAAATTCTCTCACACTTTACAACAAAATACACATGTATACATATGATTGCAAGGAGAATTCAACAGTTAATGAGAAGTCACTGGGACTTAATGCTAGGAAATACAGCAATTTTCATTTTACAAATTCTTAAAAAAATCTATGTGCATCTTACCTGCAAAGGTTCTGATCTTTAGCTCTAAAGTCAGGCAGTACAGTGAAGTGGGCTTCACAAAGGTTTGAGTGTCCCCTGCCCATGGTAGGGTGAATAACACTCTTTGCATCTGCTGCTCTGTGCTCACATTCCAGACGGTAAGCCATGCGGTGATACTCACAAGTAAGTTTTACTTTGGTTTTATATGGCTGCCCTTCACATTCAATGTCTTCATCCTCTTCACAGTTTTTGCATGAACAGACCGTATTGTCGTGAAAGCCACAAGTATCTCCATTCCCCCACTCATGCATATCACGGCAGTGATACTCTCCTAATGCTCTCAACCGTCGTGCATACTCCTCTGGAGTATCGCATTGCTGTAGACAACAGAAATGATTAATACGAGCAGTTGTAAGAAAACTGTCACTAAGACACCCACAACCAGCTTTATGTCTCTCACATTTGCATTTTAGAGTTCTCACTGAGGGAAACTGTGCCTCATATTTCCTTTTGATATCTGTGGAGAATTCTTTTTTTTTGGCAGCTTCTTTTAATTGGTTGATATGGGCCCTGCCTACGTGTCCTCCACACCGAAAAACTTTTCCATTGGAATGATGCTGAGCAATTGCCTTGGCTGCACTTGAGTCACCATCTTGCCAGACAACTTCCACTTTGCAGCCTTCATCTGCTGCCTGCTTATAGCATTCCTCTGCAAGGATTCCTTCCATAGATTTTGAGGTACCCTCAAATAAATCTTCTTCAATGACATTGTCTTTGCCTCGCATACACTTGTGACCAAACCACAACAATCCGCCAGTCAAATAATTTTTGATAATGAATGACCCATTTTTGCTGAAATGTCCATGTGTGTGCCACACTCCGTCGGAAGTCACCACTGCCTTTTCCCAGCTGCCCAGTTGATCATTCCTTAATGCCCTCATGTTGTTTTTCTCTTCTTCACACATGCCATTTAAAATGTCTGTCACATGTGGATAAACAAGTTTTATGACCTCAAAGTAGGGATTATTGGAAATACAACTAATCCCTAGGCACTGCCTCAAGACTCGTGAAAACTTTGCATAACCATGCCCAGTGATAAAAAAAGCCACAGCCAGTGCAAGTCCCACGACAGTTCTTCTTGAGCCTTCCACAAGTGCAGACCCATTGAAGTTTACCGATCGAAGCTGACATCCATTGCATAAAAATGTGACATTCAGTGTCCCTCCAAGTCCTGTTGGTTCCACTTTTGTAACCACCAATATACCTACCACGAGGATAAAAAATAAACAGAGATATCAATTGATGTAAGCTGGTCTCTTCAGAATATATGTTGAAAAGAAAAAGGAATTTAAGTGGGCTTTCACAATTGAAAGTAATAGCACTTATTGTCAAAACACACAGATCACTGGTCATTGTTGTGACAAGTAACTGGTGAGTCGTTGCTGACAAATAGAATAACTGTAAGTCTAATACTTTTTATTTTATATCTACTTGTTCATTTCCATTTCACTTATCAAACACATACCACGAGAGGAAAATAATTTATTACGAAACCAGGAGAACAATGTGGTTTCTATGCTGTTAGCCATGTGTGAAAAATAAAAAGTAAAAGCCGAAACAAATTTAGTTCGCAGAACATAGCCGCTTACCATTGCAGTCTTTTGTAGAGCATTGTGATGTCTTGTTCACTTGATGAACCAAATCCATGAGTTGTGTGGACTCGCACACGAAAAATCTCCGCTCAAGGCTATTTGTTTCGGTGTCATCAGAAGTGGGAGTTTTGCTGAGCTTCTGCACTCCTTTTTCGTCATCAGCCGGCTCACATTCCCACTCGCTTGACTCATCTTGCGGAATCGACTCTTCTGTAGATGAGCGGTCATCCAGGCACTCCTTCATATTTCTTTTGACCAGAGTTTTCTCAACCTCTTTTTGTGTTTTATAAATGGTCTTTCCAGGGCTTTCAAACTCAACGCGCTTGCGTCCGCCATTTGTAAAAACCAATTGCCTCCACTTCGCAGGAAGAGTAAATTTTTTGCGACTACCTGCTCCAAGTCCCCTAACTTCCGCCGATTTCGCTCCTCTTTGCTTTCTAAGTTTTTTCCAATCTGCCTTTGACAAACGCTTTTTCTTTTTCGGTGGAGCCAT